GTAAAGAGACCGCTCGCATTCAAATGAAATGTTGAATATATCAAATCAAGATCAGATGAAGCAAGAATTCTACGTTCTGAGGGATACATATCAACAACGGTTTATGGTGGCAGATAAGGTCATCAATTGTCGTTGCTGGCCTAGGAGGTACCAGGAGCTGTCATTTTACTAGGAAATAGGAAAGAATGCATGCAGCGAAGTGGCTGTGGTGACACATCTGGCCCTTGTCACGATTCATTCTCCTTGCGGCAGGCATTCTACATCTTTGAGCTGATTGCAATGACCATTGGTCCATTGGTGTACTACTTTTTGAATCAGTCCTCCACGAATTACTAGAGTACAACTTCTCCCTCTTCAGATCTACTGGTGCTGCACTGCTGGATATGGTCGATGACTGAGATGAATCTCTGTTTGGAAATGATGTCTCCTCTTAACACCATTTAATGTACAGGAAACTAGCACGGATCCCAGATCAATACAAAATTTCAGTCTTGCAAATTAGTTGCTCCAAAATCAAGTAACTTTCGCAGCCAAAATCAAGTATTTTAAGCTGTTGTGTTGGGGCCGATTGCCATACGAGCCATTTCGTCTTGGTCAATAGCTAATAGTTGCCCTCTTGATACCCTGTATGGTTCATTAATTCCAGATCATCATTGATATTTCTGATGCATTGGACACATCATATTTGGGAGAAAACAAATATTTTGACAGCTGCAGATCTCAGTGTCGTATTAAAATGCTGCTTGCTAATCCTTTGAAGTTTTTTTGTCTGAAGATCATGGCTTCTCACTTTCTCGACTGCTATGTGATATATGGTAGTTCAATCAGAAACTTACATGTTTTCCTTCTCAGCATCTGCTGCTTCATTTTTTTTTATGGAAAATAGTAAGAGAAGCTCCTACTGCTGCTTCACTAAGCTGACTCCAAATGGTTGGACATTGAACAGATGATGGGCTGAATACTTGATTAATCATCTAAGCATGCAAATCTTCAGGTGCACACTGAAGTGGTTAACTGACTTGCGCCTTGCAGGTCTTGAGTCGTAATTGCAGGAAATCAGATGATCATACAGTACACTCTTGTCTAATGATGAAATTGGTCAGTGTAATCAAGTAGTTAATAATTATTATCTCAACTTTTTGTTACGAGCGCTAGCGAGAGAACGGATTGGATATGAATGTGTCACCAGCGGCCGAGGCTTGGGCAGCCTCTTGCTGCCCCTTCCCGTGGCGGCATTGGAGAGATAAATGGGAAATAGTTTGGATCAATTGCTTGCTTTTTTCATGAATTGCTGGCCCTTTAATAGGTGTACAAATAACTGAGTTGTTGCTAATGAAAAGGAAACAAACTAACTGACTTAATCCTATCCATGCAAGCGTGATCACTGTTGCTCGTCCGGCAAACGAGATGGCGGTTCAGGGAGTGATGTTCTGAACTTTATCTGCTGCGCCTGATTTGCGATTCTTCCGTTCGTAGACTGTGCTGGCCATAACATTTTTCTTAGCTCAGCTGGATTTGGAGTGGATGGCTCTGAACCAAAAGACAAAGCATTGTCTAAAACTTTTAACTGATCGAGTTGAACTCACATGCATCCGAGTAATTAGTATAGCGTGATTGTGGTAGGTGGTGCATTGAATTGTATTGTAAGAACTGAATAATTGAGCAAGAAATTTCTCAGGCTGAGACCTATAGATGACAAACTCTCCCAACCAAGAGGCATAGTAGGCCACTCCAACCAATTCGCGCAGTGGAAGGGTTGCTATGGATAGTCGTCGTTGGCCTAGGAGGCATCAGGAATTGCCATTTTACAATGAACTTGCCATCATGAACAACAACGTGGGGTGTGGGACACATGTTAGGACGGTTTCCTCTAGCATGAGTGGCCTTCCTTGGAATTGAGATGCCTCCATGTCCGCTGCTTCGGTGGGAATCGACAGACTTCCTCTTCGACAAGAGAATGGGATCACTTCACCCTCCTAACTTCCTTGATGCCATGTACGGATGCTACCGTAAATCTGTGATGCAAAGTATAATGATGAAGTTTATATATATATATCATCAGTCACTCAGATGGTTTTCACTTTCGATTTCGCTCAAAATTCCGGTCATTTCGGTAGCAAAATTCCTAAAATTTTGGAATTTTTGGACCGAAATCATTTGAAATTTTGACACAATTTGACTGAACTTGAATAAATTTTGACCAAATTCAAAACAAAATGAGAAAAAAACAAAAAAATTCAGCTGAGAAATTGCATTCACCGGTGGGGTCTGAAATTTCTGAAATTTAGAACCGAAATTGCATTCACTAGTCACTCAGCGATCGAGCGGTAATGTTGAGTAACTTTTTTGTGGTTGATATTTGATATAGAAATCATACACGGTATTTTTTGGAATAAAACTTCTTGTTTGATACTGCATTTATCTGGTTGTATGGACAAGAAGCCATCTACTTCCTCCTCAAAAAGGATGAACTAACTGAATATCAGTGGTTCTCCAATGATGAATTGTTCAATGTTGTCACTTGTGAAGCAGGAAATTCTTTTTCCCAAATTTCCTTATCTGATCTTTTTTCGACTTATTAGTTTAACTCGCACACATCCGAGTAAATAAGATTGAGATATTTGTAACAAGCACCCATTGGATGAATGGCCCATGTATATGATGGTAGGTGCTACATTGGACTTCAATGAGTTGGGTAATTAATTGCATCAAATAAAATGCTATATATTCATCAAAATTTAGATGAAGGAGCGAGAATTTCTACAGCTGAGATACAGATGACTGGATGCGTAATGCTTCATGGAGGCAGAGTAGGCCACTGCAGCCATCCGGAGGCCAAGTTACTATGCATAATTGCATAACACATGAGATGGTTGTTCCCTTGTTTGGCCTAGAAGGTATCAGGCGACCACAGCTAATCACTGTGGTGGATATGTACGCGTGGTGAATCAGTTGCCGCTGGTAACATCTCCCAGGATAAGAGCTCAGCAGGTGCAGGGATGGCGGCGGCGGTGGCAGACTAGTTCAGGAGGACGACATCGAGATCGACAGCATATGGTTTTCTAAAGGATCATGAAGCAGCAGGTGATGAAACGGTTGGTGAGAGATGAATAATCTTGTTTCCTTTTGTGTATTGATAAATTATTCAATGTTGTCTTAGAATTAATTTTGTCCCATCTTTCTATAGCTCACCTCGGACAAGTAGAGTTGATGGCTCTGAATTGTGTACCAAAAGACATACCCATCAACATTTAATTGTCTGAACATTTAACCGAGTTGAACTCACATTCATCCCGGTAATTAAGCGCAATATATCTCGAATGATTGGCTTGTCCACATGGTGGTAGGTGCTGCATTGAACTGTAGTAAGAGAACTGAATAATTACACCAAATGCGAAGTTGCACATATAAAGGATCATGTGAAGGAGCAAGATATGCAGAGTAGCTAGGCCACTCCAGCCATGCGTGATGCAGAGGCCGGGTCATGGTTTTTGGCTTGTCGGAGTAGGAGGCATCAGGAGTTGTTAGTACACTGATTCCACATCTTTATCCATCCCTGCTTATCCACATAGATGATAGACCACACCATCCTCTCGTGAACACAAGAAACATAGGCAGAGCATGTTGTTTCTATGGTTCCGTCTCTAACAAAACCAAGTTCCGCTTCATCTTCCTCTCATCATCATGGCACCGCGGTACTTTTGTGGCACAGGTGCAGGGACGGTGGTCGCAGTCTTGACTCATGACATCAGCAAGGTTGGGGTTGCAATGTTCTTTCGATGTCCTGTGGCCACAGCAGATGAGTTGCTACCCGACCTGGCTGTGATGTTAACATCAATTTTGTGACCAGAGATGGCGACGGGAATCTATGTTTTGTGACCCGAAGTCCAACTCCGCTCTCTGGTTGATTTCGATGATCGGAGGGTCTCTTAGCTTGAGGAAAAGTGGATCTTCCGCTGCTTCAAGATGTGTGTTCTTTTGTTTTGTTATAAAAAGTTGTATAAGCTGAGAGAGAGAAACGTTTTCCTTTTTGTGCCAATACAGAGTGATGAATAGTTGATGTCTAACACAAGTGTAGCCTGCAGGTCCTGCATTATTGTAATTATTTGTAGGGAATCAGATATAGTACACTGTTGCTGTACTGATTATTGTTCAGTGTTATGCCTATCTGAACTACAGCCCAGGTCTTAGAATTACTTCATGTAATCTGAATATCTGATCATAGTACACTCCAGTCCAATGATTTTTTTTTAACGAAACAGCTCTGTGCTGCTTGTATATTGGTAGAAGGAGAGCACTGTAAAATTTATTTACAAAACTCCTTCTCAATAGTGAATTAATTAACTGTACGTTGTTGTCAAGTAGTGCACTAATAGAATTAACTGTGTTGAACTTGCATACATCCAAGAAGTTAAGCATGAAATAAGATTGGCCCATGCATACCGTGGTAGGTTTGCATGCGCTGAACATTTGAACTGCAATTGATGAGAGCGCTGAAAAATTGCTTCAAATGAAATGGTGCATATATATCAAAGAGCAGATTGAGGAGCAAGAGATTCTTCAGGCTTTAGAGTTAGAGATAGAGATGAACAACTAACTCTTCATGGATGCAGATCATACCACTCCAGCCACGCATTAGCCGGGTGACTATGCTAAGGTTGCTTGCAGATTGGTGGATCGCGACAAGACGGCGTTTTCAGAACACGTATAGGACGGATTTCGATAGTCTGTTCATGCTAATTTGTTGGCTTATCTGGAAAGAGCGAAATACAAGGATCTTTCAACACATCGCCAAGTCGGTTGACCGGCTAGCGGATGACATCAACGAGGAAATCGCAACGGTTTTTAATGCATATCTCCAGTTCCATTGTACTTCCGGTGCCTCTGAAATTATCATCACAACGGTTGATTTTTGAGGACCTGTGACCCCTAACCGTTCACTCCACTGTGTTTTGAATATTGACGTATGCTGCATAAACCGGAAGAATTTGCAAAGAATCTCCATGAGAACGCATTTCATGTACCAAAAGTTCCATGAACTTACATCGATCTCAGATATTTGGAAAGGGAAGCACACGATCCCAGTTTTTTCAGACATTGCACACTAATTGCGTCAAATCAAATGTTTGCTACTGTGTTGGTGCAGCTGATGTCCTCTATAATGCATTCGACGGAGTAAATTGGGTTTTTCTTGTTGGTTTGGACACATCAGGGTTAATTTGTACCAATTCAGAAGAACGAAACTGCATATGGATCATCCAATTGAACAAAAAAGATCACAAGAAACTCTTCTGGTTATTGTGGAGAAATACCAGCAGGAATTAAGGTCACTACAATTTCCTTAGACACCTCAGTCATGATAAGCCACATCGATGAACCATCCTCTAGTTGAAGCCATGAAGGTGAGCTTGGCATGCCGTCTTGCCGGTGCCGTTTCTGACAATGGTGTCTTGTGTAACCTTGGCTGCTTCTGGAAGGGGTGATCTGAATGGTTGGTGTCTAACTGAAGTGTCACCTGCATGTCCTGAATTATTTTAGGCATCAGATATGGTCACTAATGTGCATTGGTAAATTGTTCAGTGTTTTGTCTATCTGAATTGCAGCCCAGGTCTTATAGCTAATGGGTTTTGTTTTAGGAACAGACATTAAAATGGGACCAATCTAGAAAGAACTAGATTGATTTTAAATTAAGGAGGGGGTGAGGCTCGAACCTGGACCGGCTAGCTCGCAGCTTGCGTTGCTAGCCAGGAAGACCCCGGGCCTTTCTCGCCCAGGTCTTAGAATTATTTCAAGGAATCAGATCATCACAGAATTATTTCAAGGAATCAGATCACAGTACTCTTGTCCAATGAAGAATAATGAACCGAGTTAATTCCTTGTCTCTGAACCTTTTAACATTTTCAAAAAAGATGTCTGAATCTTTAACGAAGTTGAACTTGCATTCATCAAGTAATTTTATAAGCATGGGATATCCGGGATGATCGACCCATTCATGCAGTGGTAGGTGCTGCATTCAATTGTAATTGGAGAGATGAATAACTGTATCAAATGAAATGCTAGCTCTATATATCGAAGGTCTCGGATGAAAGAGCAAGAAATTCTGCAAGAGCTAGCGATGAACTACCCTTCATGGAGGCATATCAGGTCACTCCAGCCATGCAGCTTCCGGGTTACTATGTAGTATGCATGGTTGTTGCCTTGTTGGCTTAGGAGGCATCAGGAGTTATCATCTTACGGCACGCAGCGATTGTTCACTTCCCTAACTAGCCACATAGACGATAAATCACAACATCTCTTTACAGCAGCTGAAACAGTCGGAGGGACATGTTGTCTCTCGGACGCTGCCTCGGATGAAACCATGTGCAACTTCGTCTTCCTCGCATCGCCATGGCAAGCAGTGCATTCTGCACTACTGTAGTGGTGCAGGTGCAAAGACCGTTGTGACTGTGATGACGTGATCTTGCTCTCTTATGTGATGGCACCGCACATCTGATCTGAGGCTGCGAATCAGATGCAATTCTAACTGAAATGTAGATTTGAAGGTTATGAATTGTTGCAGGGAAATTAGATATTTAGATACTGAACACTCTTTTGTGCAGTAATGAATTGTTCAGTATCATCAGGTAGTTAAGTCGATCTCATCTCATCTCTCCATGACTCCACCCGTTTGGGGATTACTCAAAATTAAGTCATCAGAAGGCATGGTCGTCAAGATTATAGGTTACCATGTCTTCTGCATTCAGTGCCCATTTGAACACCGCTGCACGCGTCAAAAATACATTTGATTTTGATGATATATAAACAATCTAATATATTTTGGCACATAAAAGAGATGAGAGTAGCTCGAAAGCTGATGGAGAAGGACAGACGATCCTGATATGTTCCATTCGAAGTTGTAGGTATGGGAGGCATCGGGAGTTGTACCGTCTATCTGAACCATCAGTGCACGTTCTTGCCTCTCCATTCTACCTCAAGTGTATCACCATGGCAGCTTGCAGGATGATGTATGCAAAGTCTATTTGCAGGGAAGAGTTCCGCCTGAGTTGCTTCCAGTTGAACAAAACATCTGAGAATAGTTTGAAGATGACGAACACAACCAGCTATAATTTGGACATTTTTTTTCCTGGCAGTACTGATTACAACAAAAAAGAAAGCCATAGCGCCCATTTATTTGTTCAGGCAAATGACAAATCACACACACAGAGAAAAATCATTTCTGGGCTGTTAGCCTGTCACACCCACCTGAAACATTAGCAGGGTGTTTACTGCATTTTCTTTCAGATAAGACATATATTAACTCGGCCAGTACAAAATGAAACATAATTTAAGCACACTTGTGAGATCCTAACCATTTCTTCCACACAAAACCAGACATGAAAGCAGCCTATTTTGCATAGCATGCAATGAAAATACTTAGCAATAAAAAGGATTCTAAATTTTGTATAACTTGCACAGAAAATATATATTCGATTATCAAATGTATTCTAAAGATTGGCTTACCAACACATCAACTGTACTAACACTCCAGAACCAGAACAACCATTCAAGCAAACAAAGAATTTACACATCAGCAGGGAGGAACCAGGTCAGAAACTGGCGTTTGAGACGCAGCTCTGCCATCACGGCCTCTGGAAGCAAGTAAGCAACGGTGTGATTTCACTATTTCTCATGTTGTACACGCCAGATTCGCCAAGAGGATCAACACATGGACCCCAGTACACTCTGGATGGATTGTCAAAAGTTCTGTGCATGAAGTAGATGCAATCTGCTTGAACTCCACCTACACATTGGCTAGAACGGACGAACTTGGCGCATTGTGAACCAAGGAAGATTGCATGGCCACCCAAGCTGTCCACTTTTCTCCACCCGCAACGCAAGGGGTAATCGTTCGTAAGGTCTGCCTCGAAGACCTCATAATCACGCGCTAATAGATTGTTCTGTTTTCCGTGCGTGGGACATAGGTGCTAAGTTTCGGTTGGGAACCCATGTCCCACGTACGGAAAATGGAGTGATCTATTAGCGCGTGATTCAATTAAGTATTAGTATTTTTTTCAAAACAGATTAATTTGATTTTTTTTAAAGCAACTTTCATATAATTTTTTTTTTGCAAAAAAACATGCTGTCTAGCCGTTTGAAAAGCATGCACGCAGAAAACGAGATAGAGGAGTCGGTAACCTGCGGGAAACAACACAGCCAAATTAGCGTTCAGTGGAACGTTCATCCACCGCCCCACCATGAACAACCTTCCATGGTGGCGTCATCTCGGAGTAGTGACGCGGTGACTGCGGATGCGGGCGCCGTGTAGGTCGAGCAGGCCGCCGTCGCGGAGGGCGAGCCACGGCAGCGGGAGGCGGCACACCGCGCGGAGGAGCGCCCGGGGCCGGAGAAGGCTCGATTCGCCGGGGCTCGTCCGGAGGCCGCCGCCGGCGGTGGAAGCCGCGGCACGGCGCGGAGGATCCTCCGGTCGGCCTCTGGCTCCGCCACCCCGCTGCCGCCACACCACCTCCACATGCGGACGTTCCTAGCGGAAGCGCGTGCCTACTGGCTGCTTGTTCGTCGCCGATGGGAGGCCTGGAGCGGCGGCGACGCCTCGCCGCGGTGGCCGCCGTTGAGCTTCGGAGCTGGGAGTGAGGCGTCGCTGGGGAAAGTGAGTGGGAATTTTCGTTTTTTTTCTTTTCTTTTCTTTTTTTAGTGTGTTTGAAAAAGGATGGGGGAAGGAGGATGATATGGGCCACATTTCTTCTGGGCCTCTTTCAAACATAACAAGAATCTGCTAGTAAGAGATTTCTGTAGTTTAATTTTCTGCATTTCTTTTAGAAATTAATCTGATTCTTGTAAAATTTCTCTGAACTTCCTCCATTTGAATGGGAGTCTTGGATTCTTGGCTTAATATACTCCGAGAAGAACTATACATCCTTTTCTGTTCTTCTGGTCACAGTGAACTAAATAAAGAAACATGTACTCCCGGTTTAAGTTGCTACTGAGAACATGAACTCTGGATTTGTAGGTTAAAATTGTATCAAACTCACAGTATTTTTGGGCCTGTTTAGATTGTAGCCAAAATAAATTTTACCAAATTTTGACATTATAGCAAGTTGGCAATATTGCCAAAATTTTGACAGAATTTCTTATGTATTTACTAAAGTTTGGCAACAAACTAACGTAGACACATTTTTGGCAACTATGCCAAAAAATGATATGGTTGAAAATAGCATCAATCTGAACAACCTTTGTGTGCCTCTAATCCTCAATTCCCCAATTACGGAGTATTATGGCCCGGAGTTTCAGAAAACTCCCACCTTTTATCAAGTGTTACATGATCTTACAATTGCACATCCAAAGAGGGATCAGAAACGATAAGCATGCATTTCCATATTTCAGTGGGGGTCAGCAACGATGAACTAGTGGGTTATGTAAAACTGAATAAATTTCAGGGAATCGAAAGAGGTAGCAATAAGTGTGCAAGCTGAGAGATGAATACTCTTGTGTGTACTTTTCTGTGACAAAGAGGAAAACAAATTGATGAATAGTTGGTGACTTGGGTGTGCACCTGAAGTGTAGCTAGCCTGCAGGTCCTGAACCAAGTCCCTTCCAGTTGGGCAAAGAAAACAGAGACTTTTGAGTAATACCAAAGCAGCTAGCAATAGTTCCATGATTCATGATGTTTATGATGGCAGATCTGATTACAGTACAATTTTACTTGAAAATGAGATGATAACGATTAACAGATTGACAGAAAAAGCTCATTTCAGGAATGTTACACCGTTCAGAAACATCGGCAGGATGTTCATAGAATTTTCCTTCAGACTAAAACACATATTAACTTGTCAATGCCCAGAAACAACTTGACAACCTTCAGTTTTCAGAGAAGATACATAAATGTACAATTCAAAGACAGAATCGACTGAAAAGTTGAAGGATGATGAACAGTAGCTACATATACTACATATACAATGCAAAGGAGCAGATCAAGATCAGCCTAACCAGACTGATTATAATCTCCCTAACCTTACATCATCAGGAGCATATATCACTCTTGTTCCCTTAAGCTCTTGCTAAAACAAGAGCTGCAGCAAGTAGAAGAAAATCAAAGGTTGAGGATAGCAGCCAAAATGCAGTGCACCAACCATACATGCAGGAAAAGATATGAATGGATCATAATCTACATCCCCCCCCCCCCCCCCCCCCCCGCGCCAAACCAAAAAAAAAATCCACAGAAGAATTTTCAGAATAAAGAACGATCTGATTTCTGCCTCCAATGAATTTAAGGACGATAAATAAAGAAGAATTTTCAGAGTAGAACAAAATCTGATTTGTGCATCCGCTGAATTTAACATTTGATTTATGATCAAATGAACTTGCAGAACACACTTATTTAAGAAAGGGAAATAAAGAGGTTTACGAACAAGTCTGCCTCTCCAACCTGGTTTATCCTCCCGATTACTTTACCCACATTATAATGGACTGTCAAAGGAAGGATAAACCAGGTTTTTCGAAGTTCATTATAATGTGAAAGGGACCCCAAGTATCTGTCTATCTGATAGGAAAAGACCTAACCTAATTGCCAGGGCAGACAATATCATCCGGATCAATGTTAACAAGCATTATATCAAACCTACAGAAGTTAGTCCTCAACCTTGATAGCTGCAAGTCGAAACAAGGATCCACTTCAGTTTCTCTGCTCAAATGAAGAAGAGGAATCATCAACATATTATATACTGAATCAGCAGGACAGAACATGAAGCAACCCTCTGCGCCCTTTTGGTAGCTAGAAAACCAGATAAAACGTCGATTACAGTAAAAAGAGAGCCACGGCTCCGATTTTACTCGAAAATAAAATAAGAATACTGATTACGAGTTTACAACTAGAACTAACAGTAGCACCGATTTTACTCAGCAATGTTTCACTGTACACAAACATCAGCATGGTGTTCACTGAATTTTCTTTCATACTGAAACATACATTAACTTGGACAGTGCACAATCAAATAAAATCAAAACACACATGTCAGCACCAAGCCATTTCTTCAACCAGACATCAAGACAACAAATTTTGCATAGCATGGAAACATTTACCATCAAGAGGATCTAAATTTTGCATACCTTGCACAGAGAATGTTCAACCATCAAAAGGATTCTAAAGTTTGCATAATAGCTAGAATCTACCATACTGCTTTTTCCATAACAGAAACAATCATTTAAGCCAACAAAGCAGTTACACATCAGCAGGGAAGAACCAAGTCAGAAACTGGCGTTTGAGACACAGCTTTTCCATCACAGCCTCCGGAAGAAATGGAGTGATCCTCCGATTTGTCATGTTGTACACACCAGAGTCGCCAAGAGGATCGACACACGGACCAAAGTACTCTCGGGACGGATTGTCAAAAGTCCTGTGCATGAAGTAGATGCAATCTTCTTGAACTCCGCCGACACATTTGCTAGCGCGAACAACCTTGGTGCATTCTGAACCGAGGAAGATTGCAAGCAGAGATGGCAACATAGTATCCCTCAAATATTAGTGCTGCAACAAGGGGATCCGGCGATGAATCGAGCGGCGGCGATGACAGAATCACCTTAACATACGGCATTTTGGTGTTCCCCACAGTGTAGAACTTGGAATCGTTCATCGCTCGGAGCACAGCATTGGCAAGCTGGGGGAGCGGGGTCTCCTCCGACGCGGAGAGAGGGTTTACCAGAGAGCAGCAGGCGGCGCGGTTGTGCGCGAGGAAGGCGAGGTTGTCGACGGCGAGGTAGTCGGTGACGCCTTCGCGGAGGATGGGCGCGCAGCGGCGAACGGGAGCGCCGTGGTGGTCGACCAGGCCGCCGTCGCGGAGGGCGAACCACGGCAGCGGCGGGGGCAGCGCTGCCTGCCGCTTGGCGTCGGTGCGCCACGGGCGGCACGCCGCGCGGAGGCGGACGCGGTCGGCGAGGGACGGCAGGCGCAGGAGCACTTGGCCGATGAGGTCCGCCGGGAGCTCCGACCACGACGATGTCGCCGCCTCCGCCGCCGCCGCCGTCACCTTCACCTGCTTCACCTCCATGGCGATTCGAGACGGACGGGGGGGAGCGAGGAGGAGGTGCAATACCCCCAAACCTGGAGCTCTTCGCTTCCGACGCCGGCGGGAGGCGCTGGGTCGCCGGAGCAGGAGGGCGTCACCGGTTTTTTTTTCTTTTTTTAATGAAGGGGAGCTATTTTTAGAGGATTTTTCTTTTCTTTCTTTTTTTTTCTTTTCCAGTGCGAGTGAAGCCCACGTATATGGGCCACATATAGGAAATGAAGCCCACGTATTTGACTCAATTGGGCCATATGGGCCTGACGGAACGGCCTAGCCTAGACACGAGACGGAACGGCCCGTTGAGACGGCCCGTTAATGCGGTCCGTCCTGTGTTTGGGCAAGCAGCCCAAGCACGACACAAAGTGTTCACTTTGATGTCATTTTCAACCTTACCAAATTTTAATAAAGTTGATAAAAAAAAGTAGCTACATTTAGTTTGCTACCAAATTTTAGTAACTATATAAAAAATCCTACCAAAATTTTGACATAGTTACCAAAATTTTGGCATTGCCAAAATTTGGTAAGGTTTTTTTTTTCAATCAAAGTGAACAGGCCCAAAGATACTTTAACGGGACATTTGCAAAAACCACATTTTTCGACCATGATGAGTGTCTCTTTTCACATTCTCTTCCACAATTTCAGGCAACAAGGCGAGTTTAAACATGCAGCCAATAGTGATCTGTGATCAACCAATTAATCTTTGATTTGGACAAACATGTTCAGACTGAGCATATAATTATGTACTGGCACAAAGTAAACTACTAAACTGAGCATGTACCCAGAGTTGGTGAAATTGTTGCAACATTCATAGTAAAACCTTCAAAAAATAAATATTACATTGGCTAAGAAAAACATGTCCATTGCTGTCTGGTTAGTATGCCGGTTAATTTGTCTCCACCAGAACAAAAACTGGTATCTTTCCTAGCTTTTCTCTCCCCTACAAAACATGTAAATTTCTTAATAAGAACAAATATCCTTTAGTTTGTCCAAATGGGGAGATTGTTGCATTAGAAGCAAAAGTATACCTTCAACTCTTGAAGTTCAACAACACAAGCACACTCAACCACCTCTGCTCCAGCACGTTCTGCATAGTAAAAGCACAATTAAGGTAAGTAAACCATGATATCACAAAAAAAAACAAACGATCAAAATATATTCAGATTGTTAGAAAATTAATTCTTTCATACTGAAAATTATCACTTTAACAACGCATCTAAACAAATAAAAAGTTAAATGTCTTTTAAAATTATACACCCATTTTTAGGATATTATCTATTATTAATTTATATGTTAACAAAATAAGACAAAAAAAATGAAAATAAGAGGTCACCAAGAAGTTTGACGGCTGCACAGAGGGTTCCACCGGTAGCAATGAGATCATCAACGATGATAGCTCGATCATTTGGCTCTACAGCTCCTATTTGCATTTCTATTTTATCTGTTCCATATTCCAGAGAATATTCTTCTGAGATCACCTCACCTGGTACAAACATGAAAATTAGGTACTCAATACAACTTAATTTAACCCTTAACCAAAAAACATGATTGTACTCCATGGTTAATCACAAGAGTTTTATGTTAAAAAAAACATACCTGGCAATTTTCTCGGCTTCCTTAGTGGAACAAACTTTGCTCCTACCTCTAATGCAATGGTTGGAGCGAAAAAGAACCCTCTAGCTTCAATGCCTACATTTTTCGGTGACAAAAAAGTTATGAAAATATCGTGTATATAATAGTTAATTTTACCATCCTTATAAAAGTATAAGGGGATATTATATTCTCTAACCTAAAATTTGTTACCTCCAAGTAAAAAAAAATTAGTGTAAAATTTAGGTATCTCAAGGTATTTTTTCAAGATCTGTATAATTTCTCGTATATATATAATTAATATAAGCCAACATATATAAACACACTAAAATTCATATTGTTCAGATTAATTACCAGCTACAAGAGTGACCCCTTTGCCCTTGTACCTCTCGACGAACAGCCCGATGGCATCACGGAATACCTCCGGTTTGTGAAATATACCCGTGACATCCTGAAACGAGATCCCTACGCAACGAAGCAAGAACAATTAAGAACAAAAATAAAGTTACAGTTTTTTGCGTGCGGCTGCAGTACAATCTTGTGCAGTAGATGATGTGGAGGAAGAAGGACCTAATTAGCTATAGCTAGCTTAGCACCGACCTGGCTTGGGGAAGCCGGGGAAGACGGTGATGGCGGCGGCGATGCGCGCAATGCGCGCGTCGTCGACGCCGTGGTTGCTGTCGTCTCCGGCGATCGCCATCGCCGCCGCCGCCGCCGAGTGATCTATCTGAACGAACTGCAGTATATGTGTATATAGATGGCTGTCACGCGTGTGCTGTATATATATGCGGACACAAACTACGAACATGGGTCGAATTCGGATACGTACATTATTACTGATGTAAGTATATATGTATATGGATTTCGAAATCGATACCAATTCGAATCTCTGATTGGGAGTTCAGGTCAGAGACGTTCAGTGCCTTCAGGTTCGCAAATCAGGATATATTTTTCTGTCCTTTTCGTTCCTCTTAATTAGCTAAATTATGTTTTGAAAACTGATATTGAGCGTTCGTTTGCACATCAGGATATATTTTCTGTCTTTCTCGTTTGGAGAGCTCGTTACAATATATGAGGAATTATAAAATAAAAATTAGTTTTGGAGGCCGTGTATAGTTTGACCATTTCTTATATTGTAGAATAGAGAGAGTATCAAAAAGTATATTTTACCTATGGTATGAAAAACATATAAATTCTTATGAAAACCTCTCTTTAAATATGGATATACAGCCCCCCATGAAAATAAGTTTGTTCACTATTTGCTCCGCTAACCGGTTTTACTGCCAACTTTATCTCACTCCTTACCATTACAATAACTGATATGTGAGTCCTATTTTCTTATTGTCTCACACCCCAATACATCTAATGGTAGTATTATTATGGTAGAGAATATGATCCACGAAAAACTCCATCTCAAAGAGCACACCAAGGTTGGGCCCACCTGGCAGTGACCATTGACCAAAGTCCATGAGCACTGGTCTAGTAGCTCTCTCTATAAGCAACCTGCTCCTGTCAAATCACACATTAACCTTCACCAACCCCTCTTAAACGGCTACACTCGTCATAAAAACACTCTCCCTCGTTAACATCAAGGAGAAGAGGTCATCAGCTCACCACCTTCTTGGCCTCATCGGAGAATGCAAGAGAAAGGCAAGAACTTGTCCATTCCCTTATTCAGGTGTGCATGCTCTGCATCAATGATTTTTGAAGCAATGCTGCTTCTGCTTTGGTTGCAATCTTTGCAATGCAGGTAGGTGATGGGTGAGAAGGGGTGTGAGAGTTGCAGAGAGTGGCAGGAGCACTGCTACAGGGAGCACATGGATGTGAGCAGGATTCGCTTCTTCAGGCTCATGACTGGAGATTTTGCTCATGGCATTGTAAGTATCTTTTCTTCAGGTTTTTGTCATTTTGGAGCTGCTAAAATTTTGTGGTCTTGGTGAGTGTTGTACCTTGTTATGAGTACTGTTACTGGAAGGAAGAGATTAAGGATCTAAGTGCAGATTCGTGGGATGTAGACTACTTTGTTATAGTCATTGATAACTAGACATGGCATTCATCCTGCTAACCAAAACAAGAAAATCAGTGCATTTATCATCCAACAAAGTTAACAAAATAAGCAATGAAAGGAGATTTTTGCTCAAGGCATTGCGAGTATCTTTTCTTCAGGTTTTGTGATAACTGAAAGGATGATAAGCAATGGTATTAGTAGGATGTACTGTGTGGACTTCATATTAAGGATTTAAACTTAGATCATGGATAGAGTAGACTAGTAGAGTTTTTATGTCAAAGTGGCATTGCAGAGAAGTTTAATCATCCTGCAAAAATTTCCATTCCAAAAATCATCCTGCAAAAATCAGCGTTTTTCTGTGTAGAATTTCAGACTTTCAGTCACTGTTATCTGGACACAACATTCAACATGCCAACTATAGTTGGAGTATCATCTAACGAAGTTAACCAGATTATTGTTTTCATCTCAGAGCATACCGGAGAAAGTTGCGGACAGATTCAGTGGTCAGATCACCAAAGGGTTCAACCTGAAAGCACCCAGTGGCGAAACATGGCGTGTCAGCGTCGAAAAGGTTGCTGATGAGCTGATCCTCATGTCAGGATGGGAGGATTTTGCCAAGGCTCATGAATTGCAGGAGAATGACCTCCTGTTCTTCACTTGCAATGGCCGTTGCAATGGCAGCTTCTCCTTTGATGTACTAATCTTTGATGCAAGTGGCTGTGAGAAAGTGTCTTGCTTCTTTATTGGTAAAAAGAACAGTATAGGTGGTCAGACTCAGAATGCTGAGCAATACCATTTAAGTGATTCTGAAGATACTAGCACACCATCAACATTTCTAGTTGGATCTCCTCACAAGGCCTCTACTTCAAAGAAATTGAATGGCAAGACCAAGACTAATCCAAGTAAGCACAAGTTTGCAGTGTGTCCTTAGAATGTTCTTCTGAGATTGTGATGTTGTGAATTACTCTTAAACGATATTGAAGCCAAGAATGTTCTACTTGTTTATTTTGCTAACAGATAAAGATGATCCATTTTCAACAGGGAAGGAGCCTGAAGATCCAAACAGCAGCCGCTCTCATGTCAAACATGAGATGATTGAGGAAGAGAAGAGTGATGATGATGATGAGCATGCTGATTATGAACATGCTGACTACTACTACTCGAGGTTTGCCAATTACCTAACTGGCGAGGAACGTGAAGAGATATTCAGTTTGGTGTCACTGCAACCAGGCAATCCTGTATTTGTGACTGTTCTGCAGGCGCCACAAATTCATCGCAAGGGCCTCCTGGTCAGTCCAATTATTCATCTCTCCTATGATCAAACAAAATTCCAGCATCTCCGCATGTTAACTTATAAATTGTCATATAAAGTGAATAAACTTTCATGTAAAAATTCTCTGGTTTAATAGGGAGCAGAAAAGTTCTCTTTGAGCTGACCCAGTTTAATCTTTTCGACGCAGATCGTCCCCAGTGGATTTGCAGCTGATCATCTTGACAGCAGATCACAAGAAATCCTGCTGATGAGACCAAACAAAAAGGAGAAATGGTATGTCAAATACTACCATGCAAGCACTACCAGGGGCTTCAATTGCCAACGCTGGATCAAGTTCATCCGCGAGAACAGGCTGCGAGAAGGGTACATCTGCATCTTCGAGCTGATGAAAGGCGCAAGGCGAGTGACCATGACAGTTCATGTCATTGGGAAGGTTGATGACCGGTTTGTTCTACTGGGCTAAAGGTTCCAGGCAGGCAGGCATCCTTGATCCTCCTATGTTTGATTATATATGTAAAAATGTAGCAGTATGCAATGTGCAAGTGTGGCTTCTGCATCAGTAAGAACTGACCTGGAAGTAGCTAGTGGTGCATTTTGTGATGCAGGTGATCTATGTGCCCCTGATGCTAAACTTCCTTGTTATGTAATATATAGATCTAGTGCCTACTAGAACCAGGTTTTAAGCTGTGAAAGTCTCTTTTATCTACTTACCTTATGAATCATTCGTATGTTATATTATCTATAGTTCTGACACGCTTAAGAAAAACATGCAAAAATTCAGTGGGTTGAAACTTGTTGAAGAACATTAGGCATGGTTGATGTCACAATTTCAGAAGCATCTTTATGTAATATAGATCTATAGTACAACTAGAACTAGGTTTACGCTGTCAAAATTCTGTATACTTTTCATGGCTCGTTCTATTATCCATAGTTGACACGCTTCAGAATGAACAACATTTTCTTTTTAAATGAAGATGTAACATTTCACTTGGCAGCAGCTGGTTGTAAACCACCGATCAGACATGGTTGACATCACAAGCATTTCTCGATGACGTTAGAGTAGCACACACAAGCTGATGACTTAGATTTTGCTCAGGCAACAAATCCACTCAAACGGAAAACCAATAATGCAGAGATTGCGATTTCAAACAAAGACGGTGATATCACAATACTCAGGTCAATTGAAATGCGAGATATCTCAACAGGTGGTAGTAAGTGGAAAACAATGAAAGAAGCTGAATTCATAGGCGCAAGCCATGTTGTAATAACAGGAAATTATTTCTCTGTCTAAGCTAGAAACTTTGAGACGAGCTATCACTGGAGAGTTTCTTCTAACTTTGAAGTTAATCGAAACACCAGAACAGCCTTCCAAAAGACGCATCCAAGAAGAGTTGTATCCTTTTCAAAGGACAGTGAATCTACATGGTAACTTCAAGTACCTGCAAGATAATGGCAAAATATTTTCAGTAACATTGAGAAAATTTAGAACTTAAAAACTCACGACAAGATAATGTAACGATGCAAAAAATATGATAGATCAGTGACAAAGCACCGCCATAAGCACTGGTTGAAGATAACTTATACTACTACCAGGAAATATCTTTTTTCATACATAATTTCACTCTTGAAAGTTGGCACTCACAGTTTGGAACGTTTGACACTGACAAGGCCAGATCGATCTTTCTACCAAGGAAGGTTGCAACTGGACAGGGTACACTCCTAACAGAGGAACAGATACACCAACACTCAAATTGGCGATGCTACAGATGGTTCTAATGCACAAAAATCTTAGTAATCATCAAAAGGTATACTAACTTCAATTTTGACTGTTACACCCACTATGATGATTATTGCTACCCATGATTTCAGATTGTCTAGATTCCAGGTTAGGAATTAGGATGATTGAGAAAATCAAAATTACCAAAGGAAATTTCATGCTTCAAAATCAGCACCTTTGTCTACTGGCCTCTTGCATCACCCATCTTTTCCATTCCCTAGCAAATCCCAACCGTACATGTCCTCAATCAACGGAATTATCCAATTTTTAAATATGGTATAAACAACTATCTAGCTAGCTTACACGAACAAATAAGGGGAGGGGACAGCCAATTCAAATGAAAACAAGCATGAGACAGAAAAAAAGGCTTTAGCAGTAGAATATGAATAACACAAAGCCTATTCAAGAACACATAAAAGAAGCGAAACTATATCCAAGACAGCAACCTAATAGCATGGTAACAACCAGACAGCACCCAATGTCTACCCATTTCTTTATTTTGTTTTAAGGTGACTTTCCATTTTCAGCCTCTTTAAGTATATTTATCATAAAAGAAGTACAAACTGGGGAAAAAAGGAGACCTACATAATTCTAGGACATAAGGCCCTCGTCATGCTGTCCAGCCTCCAACATCAACCATCTTCCCCACTTTCCCCTATCAAATCTCAATTTTAATCTCCTTGTATCAGTTCTAACTAAATTTTATTGCAAAAACATAAAAAATTAAAGCAAATGCATTATTGGACCCGGTACAAATAGCAAATGGACCAGATAGCTAGGTTCACACTAACAACGCGCAGATTCAAGCCACATCACTTTTGTATCTAAGATCCAGACCAAAATGAACTCCCTACAGGTGCATTCGCTGGTAGACGTCCAACAAACGATCAAGAAATGAAGAGCGCACCACCATCTAATCTAACAAAATGTGTGGCAAGATCAATGATGAAATCTTGGACTAGAGATGGTTGTGATGAGATATATATATACAAGTATGATGCAGCACGACCACTAACATTAGCGATCCTGACAAGTGCGGCGGAAGGAGATACCCTGGGAGAGCTCGCAGCAGGCCCGCGCGCTGGCCGCCGGGTGCGCCGTCAGCCGCGCCAGCAACGCCGCCGTCGTCAGCGGCGACCCCATCATCGCCGCCAGCGGCCTGCACACCCACCCACCACACACATCATTCCCATCAGAAACACCACACATCACCCATCGAAACCAGAATCCCCACATCGTGCGTGCGTGCGCGTGCTCACCGTGCGGCCGTCGGGGAGGAGGAGGCGAAGGGGGATGGGACGCGGCGGGGGCGAGGGGCAGCGACGGGAGGAGGGGCGCGGAGGGCGCGCGCGGCGGCGGAGGGCGAGGGCCCCGGGCGGCGGACGGCCGCGAGGACGGTGCGGGAGGCGGCGCCGCGCCACGCCATGGCTAGGGTTTGGGAGGTTGGAGGTGGAGGTGGCGGCGGCGGAGGAGGGGGTCGCGGGCTTAGGGTTTTAGAGGGAGAGGGGGTAGTGGGCCGTGGGCCGGGCTTACGTGGCAAGCTTATCCGGCCCATTAGTGCTTAGGCCGTTTCAAGTGGTTAGCAACTACTCGAAACCAGTAGAGGGCTAATGGACTTCGATGGGCTTAATGGTTATTAATTTGTTCTTTTCACTCCATCAAAAACAAAAAAAAAATATCTTTTCACATAGATATGTTCCTAGGAAAAAAGGGTTTTTGCTATATTTCTGTACATTGCTAAACCTAAATTGCAGTGCATTTTAACTATATTTTTTTAATATGGTTTTACTTCATTTTTACCTAAGTTTAAATTTACTATGTATCTTTTTAATATTTTTATGTGTTAGAATAATTTATTGTTTAACTAAAGGGAAGTAATAAGTAACAAGCAATAATAGGTAATAGCAGAGTGATAAGAACCATTGCATTATCATCCGAGGGACAAAAAGAATGACTGAATTATTGAAAATTTCACGCACCTGAAATCTAAACACTCCCAAAAAGATATAATGGCATCAAGTGGCTAGTGGAGTAGTGGTTAGTTTGTACTTTCAAGTGTCCAATTTTTGAGAAATAAAAATTGGTTATCTTTTTGCTCAAGTAGGGTAGTGACTTTTGACTAGTTATGTTGTTTCTTGTTCACTCTCTTCGTTTTGGAATGTTTGACGATGTTGATTAATTTCTTTTAATAGAGTTCGTAGCACGCAGATAAAATTACTCTCCAATAATGGCTCGAACATAGACAAATGAGATAGCGGTGGAGTAAAAAACGTTGCATGCGTCATTAATAACACGCCTTCGTAAATATATATTATCCCGGGGAAAAGCCATTGTCTAGTCATTTTAGATAGACCCAGCATGCATTCCTCCAAATTGTGCAACAGGAAAACACCCATCCAAGGTCCATCCACAAAACCAACAAAAGGACAGTTCAACATCAGCATATGTGCAGGCAGGCTTCCAAAAGCAAGCTTCCAAGCAAGATGGAGCATCCTGTCTGCAGGTGAGAGGGATTGATCCTAATTCCATTTTGTTCCTAGCTATCTACACTATTTGTCTGCAATCACTGATCTCCCCCTCTCCATTTGCTACCATCTGAGATTGATGAACCCCCTCCCTCTTTCCCTCTAGATCTCTACACAAATTCTGCTTTGTTCCCACATGGGGAGAGTTTGGCACCACATCTTTTTCCTTCTTTTATTCGATTTGCTAGCTAATTGGAGTGGCGTTTCCAATCATAAACCACATTATACGCATGCATGTATATAGTGCTATCTCAAGGACTTGTCCCCTGTCCCCCTTCTCACTCAATTTTTAGATTTGTCTGTTTGTTCTTCTCATCATACATGCACACACATTGGCAAGTTAATCAATGGAAGAGAGGCTAGAGTTTTGGCATGTGCTTAAAGAATTGTAACTACTGCCCAAGCAAGGTCATATGATGTATATATCATGGTCAGTTTGGTTCAAATCCCTGAACACTAAACTCATTTTTTTTACATGTTAGATAGAAATCCGCATATACTCACAAGTGGATATACACAGCTAAAATTACATAGATACTTAGACTTCAGATCTTGTAACCGAGGAACAACAAAACAAAAGAAAGTAAAACAAGAGAGAACAAAATGGACTAAATTAAATAAGACAAAATTAATTCACATATCTCAATGGATTAAATTAATTAACCCTTTTGAGTGAAGATATTTAGATAACAATGTGGCGTACGTGTACTGAATGTAGATGCATATCATGGCTCGAGGCGTTTGCATGGTCGTCCTGAATCAGTTTAGTGTGGTGCCATATTATATTTATAATCTTGTAGATGTGCATATCCAATGCCTAGCTAGGTTGTTTAATTAGGAATACTGGCGAGATGTTGACTAGATCAATTCATGCATAAGTTTCAGAAACAAAAATCCCTCCATCTCTATGATGGCTCTCTGTACATCACCACATGCTCTTGTCCTATAAAGTTAATATAAGCCTAGCTAGCTCTAAGTTATGTACCTCAACGGAATCGCTGTACACTTTAAAAGGAACAAGTAATCCATGAAAATACATATGTACATTAAAAGATCTTGGTTCTTTTTAATAAGACACTTCAATTTCAACAAGTCCTGGCCGGCCTAAATTCATCCTTAATTTGTCAGGTTGCTATCTGTCCTTTTTTGCCAAGGACAATTGGAGACTTGGACTGGAAGCTAATGTAATCCCAGTTCTTGTGTCCTTATTGTTTCTTTCATAAAAGAAAAAAATATAATGTTTTTTTAGAGGAAATCTATTGTCAAGTAGGAATACAATAACGCCACATATGTGCTACTATTGACTATACTCCCTCCGTTTCAGGTTATAAGTCGTTTTGACTTTGGTTAAAATCAAACTGCTTCAAGTTTGCAAAAAAAAAAGAAGTAACATTAACCAAGACAAATTTATTAAGAAAACATATTCAATTATTGATTTGATGAAACTAATTTGGTTTTGTAAATATTACTATATTTATCTATAAATTTAATCAAACTTAAAATAGTTTGACTTTGACCAAAATCAAAACGACTTATAATACTACCTCCGTCCCAGAATATAGCAAACTAGGATGGTAGATTGCTATATTCTGGGACAGAGAGGGTATGAAACAGAAGAAGTATAATTTAGTATAACGACATTGCAAAAGTCGGAGAAAGGGACAATGATTGTTTTGAACAGATGAAAAGGGACAATTTTTTTTAAAGAGTTGAAAGATATCAGCATTTTTAATTCAGTTGATAGTCATTTGCATATACGATCGGGAAAAGTCATTTTGCCCCATAAAAGAGATATCCCCTCGTTTCTTACATGCTTTCCAAATAATTAATTTTTTTAGAAAAAACTAACAAGGATAGAAAATATGTGAAAAATATCACCCATGAACATACAATTTCAAATCGAACCATATATACAATAGATAACAAATATATAATAGATAACAGATATGACTATAAACAGTACATATACCAGTTAGAGTTTATATTATAATTTGTTTTTTTAACTTATATGAGTCACATTTAAAAATTTGAACTTGTATGATTATGAAGTGATACATACATATTGATTTATGCTGTCAAATTTTTTTCAAAGTTTTTAAAACTAGAGGGCATCCCCTTAAGGACAAAATAAACCACCTTATGATCACACATGGTTTTTCATATATTATAGTATAAAATTATAGTCAAACATATATTTTGAAAGCCGGGCATATCATTATTCAAAACGAAAAATTATGAAGCCGGAGGAAGTATCTAACAATCGATGCGTTTTGGAAACTAATTTAAGCAACACGTGAATGCATGTTCTCTCTCATCGAGGATGATCTCGACATCGTACATCACCATGCATGAACGGATAGATTAGATGGTCCTGCTAATAACTCATGGTTGTGTGTGGGGGCAAAGTTGCTGTCTTACTGAGTGTTTTGAGCTGTGTTCATTTCTTCTTTTCGCAGAAAAGTTGAAAGAGAAGCTAGCAAAGCTGATGTTTAACTGAGGCCTACATACCAAAAACACCTTTTCTAACTTGTTGTGTATAGTGTAGTTTTGGTAAGAGAAAAAGCAAGAAAAATAACCTTGTCAAGCACTAAAAGAGTAATACTATTATTACCGTATACCCCCTAATATTCTAGGATGTGTTGTACTGACATCAGACAGCTATATACTGATTTAAGTGCTTTTTATGCCACTGCATTAAATCCTAAACATGCAAGCCTGTTGGTCAAACAAATAATTAAGGCAATTGTGTTATTACCCCTACTTTCATATGCAATTGTGATTTTATCCCTGTTATTTAGGTTTGTGATTTTACCCCTGTTTATTTGAAACGAAGCTATGGTTTACCCCTGTTCTGTTAAGTCATCCAAATGGTGTTAAATTTGTCAAAAATGACATGTATGCCCTTGCAAATTTGCCCCATGCTCTACTGAGAACTTTGCAATTTTACTCTTTTTTACATCAAGAACAGAAATTAATAGGATTCACTGGATGGAAAAAATTCACCAAAATTATTAATCACATACAGTCATGCACCGGGAAACAAAAACCATCGTGCAAATTCCTGGCAAATAGTACTACAGTACTATGAGACCGGGAAAAAAAAGAAAAGAAAAAAACAGAGGCCTCGCTGTTGTTATTTGGTTCAAGGGTATAATGGTCCATCCACATTTTTTTAGTAATTTAATCTATTTTTTTACTCTCTCATTCTATGGCCACCAAACGTCCATCCAAAGTAATGGTAAACGGAAGCTTCGTTTCAAAAAAGGAGAAGTAAAATCACAAATCCTAAAAAATAAGGGTAAAATCACAATTGCATATGAAAGTAGGGGTAAAAACACAATTGCCCAATAATTAACCATGAAAATTGTAAAATACAGGCACCACCTGTGCAAATAAATACAGATAAACCTCATTCATATATAAGTTAAAATTTAATGTTTAATTATATATAACATTATTGCAAAGGGTAGACAGATAACTGTCCTGAACAAGCTTGCTTTATGGTCCATGACTCCATGGTTAATATTGTTTTGGGACCATCCAAGTGAGAAAAAGGTGTTCAAAAATGCCATCATTGTGCATACCACTATATGTGTACTCCTATTTTATGCCATGTACAGTACATAGGTCATTTCCTCACTTCTGCTGCTACTGTAATTAGTTGTATCTTTTGTTCTGGCTTCACATTTCTCACCGAAGAAAATTTTCATAAATAATCATGTGTGCTTCCAATACGATTAATATTACTACACTCGTGGGATCTAAGCAGTCGGGTGTGTGTGTGTGGGGGGGGGGGGGGGGGGCTAGGATTTACTATTTCAGTATGTACAAATCTTTCATATCGAGGGTTACCAAAAATTTGGAACAAAGAATTTGATTTTTTTTTTCTAAGTTTAGGAAA